AAGCAATGCAGCTTATATTTACTTATTTTTGAGAGAGAGAGAGAGAGAGAGAGAGAGAGAGAGAGAGAGAGGCAAAAAAGAGAGAGTCACTGTGTCTCCCTGGGTAATCTGGAAGTCCCTGTTTAGGTCAGATTGATCTTCAGCTCATAGAGATCCACCTGCCTCTGTTCCCTGAGTGCTGGGATTAAAGGTGTGTGCAACCAAGCCCTGCCAATTGGCATGTTTTGACTGGTAGCTTTTGAATGCTGTTAAATCCTATGATTTTGATGTAGTTACTATTTGTTGCCATGTTTTCACGTAAGTGCAATGGTTGCTTTCCTTAGAATTCTATGAGCCTAGCCAGGCTTTGAAATAATTTTCTTCATCTTCTGTCATCTTTTCCATATACACCATGCTTTGCTTTTTATGTTCCCTTTTTACTTTACTGAGGCAGGATCTCACTCTTGAACCCAGACATCTTTGGAACTCCTAGTCCTTCTGTCTTCCATCTCCACAGTCTTGAGAACTTGGATTACAGGCATGTAATAACATACCAAGTTGCTTCTTTCTTCCCAAATCTAGAGACACATGCAGGGCTTTGTTCTATTACATGGAGACCCACAAAGGAGAAAAGCATGATGGAATCTAGAAACAACACTGTTATGGCACATCCAATGGAGAGACTACACAGTCTTCCAAAAACCATTTCTAAACTAAACTGCTAGACCAGAGTATGTGTGACGTTTCTGGTAGACCACAAGTGGCCAAGAAACACATTTCTGTGTTACTCCTCTCTTTCCATCATTTTATATACTTGTAATTTTACTGTCCCTATAGAAAAAGAACTCATGTAAATGGTAATTTTGGAATTTGTATCTATTACCCTTAATATTGAGTATTTATCAGAGAGTGGTTATGAATTCTCAAGGTAGAGATCACATATGTTAACTCGTTTTTATGATCAGATCAGTGCTCAATACATTTGAGTTGATTTGAAAGTGTAATAGGTAGCTTGATAGAAGAGAACTGATTTCATAAGGATTCTGTGAAAGTACGTGATGGATGTGTTTTCTAGTATTTTCTAGTATTTCTAGTATCCTAGCAGACCTGCTTGTATTGTTCACTTTTGCATTGTTATCATGCCATTTACTTTCAATTCACTATTAAAATTACCTTTTGGGGCTGGAGAAGTAGCTCATTCATTGAGTAGGGCTTAGTAGCCAGCACTATAAAACAAATACTTCTGAAGGCCATTGTCGATTCATTCCTTGAATTTACTATAAATTTAGACATTTTTGTGACAAGATACCCTGGGTGACTTAATTTTTTATTTTTATGTGTATGCGTGTATTGCGTGCATGTGTGTAAGTGCACCCATATCATGCAATGCCCACAGAGGACAGAAGAGGCTGCCGGATCCCCTGGAACTGGAGTTATGGACAGTTGTCAGCTGCCATGTGGGTGCTGGGATTCGAGCCCCGGTCTTTTGCAAGAACAGCCAGTGTTCTTAACCGCTGAACCATCTCTCCAGCCCTCAGAATTTCGTACAATATATTTTGATCATATTCAGATCTCCTCCCCCCTCTACTTCCACCTTTACTACCCCCCACTTCATTTCCTCTGTTATTGTCTTTTTTTTAAGGCCTATCAAGTCTGATCTGTGTTTCCTAAAGCTCTTGGTGTGGGTCTATCCTTTGGAGTCTGGTCAACCTACCAGGCATCATGCCAGTAAGGAACACTGACTCTCCCTCTCCCAGAATCTACAAGTTGCCTATAGATCCTCAACTAGAACTGGGCCTTCCTACCCACCTCCCCATCCATGCTGGGTCCTGGTCAGGCTTGGGTTTGCACAGATCTTGTGTGTGCTGTCATAAGCATCTTATGTGCAACTGCCCTGTGATGTCCAGACAACACAGTTTCCCTGTATTCATCTTCCCAGGGTTTATTGTTGTAGTTATTAAATAAGTGCTGTGTGGTAGATATGTTCTGTTTATTGTTGCTATATAATGTAACTGATCTTAACAGCTACCTTGTTAAATCCCTCTATATTGAAAATTTGTGCCGGGCCTAGTGCACACGCCTTTAATCCCAGCACCAGGGAGGCAGAGGCAGGTGGATCTCTGTGAGTTCAAGGCCAGCCTGATCTACATAGTGAGTTCCAGGACAGCTGGGGCTACAGGGAGACCCTGTCTCAAAAAGACCAAAAAAAAAAAAAATTGTGGGCAGGGGGTGGGGCCGTGCTGCAGGGAGACTGGGCCGTGACCCTGGCCAAGGCCACGGCCTCCTGCTCCGTGTGGCCCTGTGGCTCCACCTCGGCCATGATGACCCACAGCTTCCAAAGGAGCCACCAGGACTTCTCCTTCAGGCCCTGGAAGCTGACAGCCGCCAAGACCCACGTCTTGAGGTCAGCGGATGTGGAGAAGTTAGCTGCTGAATTGCATATGCCATCTTTCCCTGAAATGATGTTTGGAGACGTTTTAAGGATCCAGCATGGCTCTGGCTTTGGAATTGAGTGCAGTGCTACAGATGCACTGAGATGTGTAAACAACTATGAAGGAATGCTTCAAGTGGCTTGTGCTGAAGAGTGGCAGGAAAGTAGGACGGAAGGTGAACACTCCAAACAAGTTATCAAACCATGTGACCGGACCTGTCAGCACGTTGTGAAGGAACAGTCCTGGGAGACTCTCTTAAGTTGAAGGTTGTACCTGCAACGGATCACGTAGATACAGAGAAATTGAAAGCCAGAAGACAGATTAAATTTTTTGAAGAAGTTCTGTTTGAAGATGAACCACATGGTCATGGAGTTTCCACACTGAGTGTGAAAATTAGAGTAATGCCTTCAAGTTTTTTCCTGCTGTTGCAGTTCTTGAGAATTGATGGGGTGCTTATCAGAATGAATGATACGAGCCTCTATCACGAGGCCGACAAGACCTACATGTTATGAAAATATATGTCACGAGAGAGCAAAATTGCTAATTTAATGCACATTCCACTGTCCCTCTTCACGGAACCTAATGAAATACCACAATACTTACCAATCAAGGAGGCAGTTTGTAAGAAGCTAGTATTTCCAGAAAGAATTGATCCGAACCCTGCAGACTCACAAGAAAGTACACCTGCAGAGTAGAAAGTGGTACAACTCCTTGCTGTGGAATTTGACAACATCTTGGCCATTCCTAGGGGATATTTTTATTATTAATTTCCTTATGTGCAGATTTTCTGTAGCCTTAAAGGAAAATAAAAATAAAAGATTGTTCCAAGCAGGTTCCATTCAACTGCTATTTTTACTGTCTGCCTTTAAATTCATACTCCAGATTACATGCTCTGGAGGTACATTTGGATTCCTGAGTAATCAGCCACAGTGATGTATGTGTCTCAGCAGTGGCCGTGATCCACTTCCATCATGATGCACTGCCTTCTACTGTGAAGAGGCTAATTTGTAAATTGTCACTGAATCCCGATGCCGAGTGACTCTCATGGGATTCTTGGTCCTGCACATTGATGGACAGTGCTCGATCTTTGCTTTGGGCTTTCTGGTGTTTATTCACACTTCTGAAGACTTGTGACTTGTTGCCTAGGAAATTCATATTGTAAGACATTCATTAGTTGGAGTTTCTGGACAATATCATATTGTGTGTGTATTTATACACACATGTATTTTTATTTATTTATTTATTTTTTGGTCTTTTTGAGACAGGGTCTCCCTGTAGCCACAGCTGTCCTGGAACTCACTGTGTAGACAAGGCTGGCCTTGAACTCACAGAGATCCGCCTGCCTCTGCCTCCCGAGTGCTGGGATTAAAGGCGTGCGCCAGCACGACTGGCTCACACATGTATTTTTAAAACTTGTTAACCTACATGTCTTGGTTCCTGATCAATGTTAGCTTATTTGTTTTGATAATTCATTGTTAAAAGCTGTAGAAAATTAAAAGAATTGCCTTTTGTTGTTTAAAAAGAAAAAAAAAAGGCAGGAGGTGGATGGGTTTCAGTGGGGTCAGTATATCTCTGAAGATTTTATTAGTTTATTCCTGTGAGGAATATCAAGAAAATGTGTATTTAACCATTGCTAAATATGACATACACCATTTTATATTTATTTGTTCCAAGTGTCTTTTGTAAGAGAAGAATAAATAATAAGGAATTATGGATCCAAAAAAAATTAATTTGCATGGCTGGGAAGAAGGCTCGGTGGGTAAAGCACTTGCAGTGCAAGCTTGAGAACTAGAATATGGATCCCCTGAACCCCTAAAGCTGGCCAGGCATGTTGCTACCTGTAATCCAAACACTCAGGAGGCAGACAGGATTCCTGGAGCAAGCTGGTTGGTTAGATTAGCTGGAATTGGTGAGTTCTCGGTTCAGCAAGAGACCCTACCTCAGTCAAGTAGAGAGGGATCCAAGAAGACATTCAGTGTCATGTTCCATCCTCCACATGCACATGTACATACATGCATGTGTGCACACCCCCATATGTGAACACATGAACACGCAAATTGTAGATCTGAATGTTTCCCTCCCAGTACTTACATATTCATAATCCGTCTGTCCTTAAGTACTCATTAGTGATATACGTGCGTTTTGCAGCTGTGTATAAGCAGGATGCAGTGGAGCACACCTATAATCCCAGCACTTGGGAGACAAAGTGATCATCACAAATTCAAGACCAGGCTGGGCTACATAGAGAGTTATAGGTCATCATGGGCTACATAGTTGAGACTCTGTCTGAAAATAAATATACAAACAAAAGTACACAGAATATGAATGGAATAGTTTCCGTATCTTAGCTGTAATTCTCTGACCTGACTGTAAAGAAACACAAAAATGCATGAATTTGTTCTTAGTTTCCACAAATAAAAAATTCTACGTAGGTTTTAGAAATGTTTTCTGTGGAGATTATCAAGCTAAAAGGTATAAAATGGAACCAGTGTTTTATTTTACTTTATTTATTGAGGTAATTATCTAGAATTTGGGGTTTTGGCAAATACCAAGTTACAAATTTTGGAATTTTGTACTAAGAGCTTAAGGTTTCAGATATAATATTGTGACCTTTGAGATGAAAATGGCTATACAATTTTCAGTTTTTATGCTCCATTTTAGGAAGTATGACAGAAAATTTTTATTACTTGTTTGATTGTTTTTGTTTTTGTTTGTTTTTTTAGTGCTAGGAATCAAACCCAGTACTCATTTATACTAGGGAGGTCTCTACCGCTGAACTACATCCCCAGATCACTTACACCTTATGGTCACAACTTATTGGTGGCTCATGCCCTTAGTCCCAGCAGAGGCAGGTAGATCCCTGTGAGTTCGAGGCCAGCCTGGTCTACATAGCAAGTTCCAAGCTAGCTGGGATTACAGGGAGACCCTGTCTCAAAAAGACCAAAATAAATAAATAAATAAACAAAGCAAACATAAATTAGCACTAATGTTAATTTATACTTATATGTCAACCTGTTCCATGTTTGTACATTTTCATATAATGCTTAAGATATACTTTTTCTTCTATTTTAAGGCTTTCTTCAATATTAAAAACATATGGAAGTCCTTTGAAAACACCATCAGTAGTTTATAGACAAAGGCTTTATGAACTGCTGGTTTTATTACCTCCTGAAACTTATAAAGGTATGTGACTTAGACCAAAATGTTTAGTTGCTTTAGATATTGACTAGATCAATATCTTGGAATCAATAATTGCTTGTTAAACACTTGACTGAATAAATAATGGCAATTATTTAGTACCTTATTTTTTAGAGGTGTAGAGTCCTGTCTTAATCCCTGTACTCAGAAAGCAGAGGCAGGTGGAACTCTGAATTCCATGCCAAACTGGTCTATATAGTGATAGTTTCAAGCCAGCTAGGCCCCAAGAGCAGTGAGACTCTGCCTTCAAAAATATTTTTTTAACTCACAGTCCACTATTTTATACTATATAACATGTATTTTTAGACACTTACTAGGTACAAGAAACAACTTTGGATTAGTGTAATTAGTGTAATTCTGCACTTGAAAAGATTAATTTTTCTTTTTTTTGAGACAGTTTCATGTAGCCCAAGCTGGCCTTAGACTTTTTATGTGTCTGAGGATAGCCTTGAACTCCTGATCCTCCTGCCTCTGCTGTAATCTTGAGTGCAGGGATTGCAGGTGTGCCATTGTGCCTCGTATAAAATACGGGTTTAAGAAAATGCATTGTTCCTCTAACTGAATAAGATGTTTATTCTAGGAGTTGAAAATTGAGATATGTCTTCTCTTTTAATATTTGAGCCATGCTAAGTCAAATGTCACTTCGTATATTTCTTACGAAACTACATTTTTTGCTTATATGTTTCTGAAAATTGAACTAGTATAACCTATACCATACATATTCATTTAACTTCTATTGTGGCTTTTGTAGCCATGTGAATAATATTGTTCCAGACTCTTTTTGGTTTGTGGATGTGCCCAGAAAAGTGTTAACTATCACCGCAGGTACCTATCCTCGGAAAGAGCTGCAAACTATTAATACACTGGATTTTTCAGAAGCTCTCAATTGAGTCATTTTCTATTTTAGACACTGTTCTAAAAATAGTATGTAACATTTGTTTCACTTAGGACAAATCGCCAATCTAGGTACAGTTTCCTGTCTTGATAAAGGCTTAGAGAGTCCTTAAGTGAAATCAGAAACATATATCCAGTAAACAGTGGGACCAAGATTAAACATAAATTTATTAGCTGGGCATAGTGGTGCACATAGGATTAGAAAGATTGAATTCAGGGACTGGAGAGATGGCTCAGCAGTTAAGAGCACTGACTGTTCTTGCAGAAGACCCGGGTTCGAATCCCAGCACCCACATGGCAGCTAACAACTGTCCATAACTCCAGTTCCAGGGGATCCGACAGCCTCTTCTGTCCTCCGTGGGCATTGCATGACGGGTGCAGTTACCTACGTGCAGGCAATACACCCATGCACATAAAATAAAAATAATAAATAAAATTTTAAAATAAAAAAAAAAAAGATTGAGTTCAAGGCCAGCCTGGACTCATGCGGACACTGTCCCAAAAGAAAAAATCAAAACAAATAAAGTTTGTGGTGGGGTGTGATGGCACAAACCTTTATTCCAAGCATTCTAGAGACAGAGACCGGCAGATCTCTGTGAGTTCAAGGCCAACCTGGTGTACATAGTTAATTCCAGGCTAGCCAGGGCTACATAGATCCTGTCTCAAAAAAAAAAAAGGGAAGCAAAGTCAGGGGCAGGCGAGATGACTCACTGGGTGAAGGTGCTTTGTTGCCTAAAAACCTGAGTTTTGATACATTGTGGAAGGAGAGAACCAGTTCCCACAAGTTGTCCTCTGACCTCTACATGTGCCATGACTTGTGCATCGTCCCTTACCTAATAAATAAAGCAAATGTAATAAAAAATTTCGAAAGAAACAAAGTCAGGATTTACTATGAATTTTTTAAACAAATTCTAAATGTATCCTCTACTTTTTTTTTTTTTTTTTTTTGGTCTTTTTGAGACAGGGTCTCCCTGTAGCCCCAGCTGTCCTGGAACTCACTATGTAGACCAGGCTGGCCTTGAACTCACAGAGATCCACCTGCTTCTGCCTCCCAAGTGCTGAGATTAAAGGCGTGTGCCACCATGCCTGAATCCTCTGCCTTTTTGAAGTATATGTATTTTTCTAACATGAATTAAGGAAAAAATAATTTTTATTTATTGTTTTAAAATATTTTAGCAATTTTTGTTTCATGTATATGAATATATTACCGACATGTGTGTAAATACAATGGTGTCCTGTAGTACCTGAGGAGGTCAGAAGAGGGCATCAGATTCCCCTGGAACTGCAGTTACAGATGGTTGTTAGATACCATGTTGGTGCTGGGAAGTGAACCCTGGTCCTGTACGAAAGCAGCCAGTGCTCTTAACTGCTGCCCCAAGAAAAATTATTTTTAGAAAAATTATGACAGTATTTTTGTTTCAATAAAAAATAAGAATATGCTCAGTATACCATAGATTTACATAAAATGGCCTTGTGTAATCTTTATAATAACTTTAAATGACCTCATGGAAAGAAAGGAATTTGAATGCCAGATGGAGTGAGTGGGAGACCTTGAGCAGTGTACCTGAGCTTTTTCAGATTTGCTTTTCTCAGTCTGACACAGTAATTATAAATGTGAGGGCGTTGTGAGGGGTAGAAAGCACAGGTGCGGAGTGGCTGGCAGTAGCTCCTTGTAGTTGTGTGGTTGAGGGGTTTCCTTTTCTTTGCATTGTTTTCTTAGATAGATGCGAAGGAAAAGCTGATGTGTAGCTGTTCTGCCGCACGGCTGCCCTTTGGGCACGAGCTCGGTGTTTGTCGTGCTAGCCTGGCATAGGGCAGATGTACGAAGCTCATTCAAAGGGGATAAACGTGAATTCTTAAGCTCGAGTTACCCAGCTGAACCCAGTTCAACCAGGTGTTGTTTGAGGAGAAAAATGGATGTGTTTATTACTCCACTGTTCTGCCTGTTACAGGTTTTTCTTTGTACTTTAACAATGAAATTGGGGTTATAGCAGTAATAATAATAATTTGCTATTTTTTCCAACTTTGCAACCATGCCAATACAAGTTTTTATTTATCTTAAGTACTTTTCCATTTAAGAAAAAAAGTTCTACTTAACACATTTGTTTAATCCCTGTAGAGCAAAATAGCTCATTGATAAAGTGATTAATAAACATGTGTGAGGCCCTGGATTCAGTCTCCAGTGTCACAATAAAACTATAGGGGTATGTCTTGAGATCGTTCAGGCAGTAAATTATTTGCCATGCAAGCACATGGACCTAAGTTTGGATCCCCATGTAAAAAGCCAGGCACAGCAGGGTGCATCTTTAATCCTGGTGCTGGGTCTGTAGAGACAGGTGAGTTTCTAGAGCTTGGTGGCCAGCCAGCTTTGCTGAATCAAAGAGCTCTAGGTTCAGTGAAAGACCCTGTCTCAAAATATAATGTAAAGAGGGGCTGGAGAGTTGACTCAGCTGTTAAGAGCACTGGCTGCTCTTACAGAGGATCCACGTTCAGTTCCCAGAACCCATATTGCAGCCAACCATTGTCCTAATGCAGTTTAAATTAGGACTAATTCCAGTTCCAGGGAATCTGATGCCCTCTTCTGATGTCTAAGAGTATTGCACAATATAGGTGCATTTACAGACATGTAGGCACTACATCATACAGCTAAAAGTAATAATAAAATATTTTTAAAATAATATGGAGAGCAGTTGTGGTAGATACCAGATGTTTACCTCTGGACTACACACACACACACACACACACACACACACACACTCCCATTGGCTTTCTAAATAACATGGCTCATAGTGCAAAAAATAACCTATAGGAATGCCTGAATATTTAACACAAAAAGAAATAGTAGTCTTAAATGTATCTAAACTTACATAATTTGGAGGTTAGGATTAACAAAATAGGCTTAAAGTTCTGATTTATCTGTTGTTTCAACACACCGGCAATACATATAAGGGGCCAGGTGTGATGGCTCACGCCTTTAATCCCAACACTCAGGAGGCAGAGGCAGGCAGATCTCTGTGAGTTCAAGGCCAGCCTGGTCTACATAGTAAGTTCCAGTCCAGCTGGGGCTACCGGGACACCCTGTCTCAAAAAAGACCTAAGAAAAGGGGGGCTGGAGAGATGGCTTAACAGTTAAGAGCACTGACTGCTCTTGCAGAGGATCTAGATTTGATTCCTAGCACCCACATGGTGGCTACGAACCATCCTTAACTCCAGTTCCAGGGGAATCCGAAGACCTCTTCTGACCTCCGTGGCATTGCAGGACACAGGGTGCACTCACATACATGTAGGCAAAACACTCATACACATAAAATAAAAATAATAAAATATTTTTTTAAAAAAGACATGCAAGAAATTGCTTATCTTAAAGAGTGACTTAAATCAGCAGGCATGGTGGTTAATGCCTGTAATCTCCAGGACTGTAATCCCAGCATTCCTAAAGCTGAGGTAGGAGTATCTCTCGAATTCAAGGCCAGCCTGAGCTACAGAGTAAGATCCTGTATCAAAACAAAAAGAGTGACTTTGCTTCCTCAAGGTTGTGGATTAAAATTTGAGTTCTTGGTTTTTATTTACTATCTTAGGTTTGGTGTGGCTATCATTTCAAAATATTTTCATATTCTCTGCACCAAAAATAGTTCCCCATTACCGCTAGAAAGTTAGTGAAAAATTTCTACAACAAAAGCTTATTTACATTTCAAAATCCTTCAGTACTTTTTCCAGTGACAGTTATGCAAGGAGTCAGTTTAACTGAGAAATATTTTCCACTATTTTCACACTTAGCTGTATGACCAAAAATACTTCGCATATTGTACTGACAACAAAATTATTACTGTCACGTGCTGGTAACCCAGCTTACCAACGTTTCTTTGAGCACCTGTACTTTTCCTAGGTTAGCAGTCACTGATCCCTGTGCACCTCTGCAGTTCCTGCCTGTCATCTCTGTCTGAGTGTAACAGTCCCTTCACGTTATCGTTATACACTGTACACCAGATTTTACAGCTTCTCCGAAGGAAGAGTAAAGTATAATTAAACAGTTTTCTCGGCCAGGCTTAGTGGCCGATTCAAGATACTCAGGGAACTGAGTCAGGAGGATCTGAGTTTACAGCCTGCTTGGGTTACAGATTGCAGTCATTGCCAGTCTGAGTAATACCCTGAGACTATCTCAAAATAGAATACAATGAAAAGAGGGCAGAGGCTCAAGTGGTAGAAGGCTTGCTTGGAATATGCAAGACCCTGGGTTTAGTTCCCGGCACTGCAAAGCAAACAAGCAAAAATTCTCTGTTGCATCTTAAATGTGGCTTGAACACGTGAGTAATTGAGTACAGTGATGAAAAAACTCATGTTCTGGAGCCCGCTGCCCAGGTCGCGTTTTAATCTGACGGCTCTGTAACTGCATTGCAATCTCTAACCAGTAACAAACATTCCTGTTTGCTCATCTGTAGAGTTGATGTCATGGGATCTCTTAGGAGAGCTCTTCTATAAATTGATTGGTACATTTCACAACACCTGTCGTCTATTAATAAATATTTGTGTTTACTAGTGTTAGGGCTACTGATGATTTAAAAAGGAGACGACAGCAAACACTGCTTCCTGACTCGCCCTTCCTACCATTTCTGAGAGCTAGACATCAGCCCCAGTCCTCATTTCATCCTGACCTCAGTGGTCAAAGAAAAACGTGCAAAAGGGAATGTTTCCCTAAGGCTTTTTAGTCTTCATTCCTGCTGCAATTACATTACAAACTGGCAAAAGCCATTTAAGGTCTGTGTAGGTAAAGCTTTGCATGAAGTGCTGGGAAGATGGCTCAGTGGGTTCAAGATGCTTGTCGTCAAGCTTAATGACCTGAGTCTGATCCCCAAAACCTACATGATGAAAGGAGACAGACCTCCACAAGTTATCTTCTGACCCCACAGGTACCTGCCTGTATGAAAAACACAAAGGCAGACAGATAGACAAAAACACTAAAAATTGGCCAGGCATGGTGGCACACCTTTAATCCCAAAACTAGGGAGGCAGAGGCAGGCAGATCTCTGTGAGATTGAGGCCAGGCTAGTCTTCATTAGTGGTTTTCAGGCCAGCTGGGACAATAGGGAGACCCTGTCTCAAAAAAAAAAAATTGTGCTGATAATCCATTAAAAATTAGGATAAAGCATTTTTGAGGTGGTAATTTGGAACAATGTTATAAATGGAGCACTTTTTCAAAACAGAAGTACATGAGGAGACAGGCCTGTGTTTCTCATATGTATGGAAGAGCACGGTTCTGCCCGTGAACAGTATCACCAACATGTACCTGTCTCTAGATCCCGCCACCCACTTCCAAAAAATAAAAAAGATGGTAGAGGAAAAAATTAAATTGTACCAGAGTGCTGTTATCAAAATCTAGACCATAGAAAGTTCTACAGAACAAATAACGTTTATTCAGATGATTTGCAAGGAAGAAAACAGAGGGAGAATATTCGATTCAAAGAGACTTAAGATGCATCAACCAGTTGCATCATGTAGACCTTACCGTTCCAAATTCAAACAGAAGCAAAGCCTGGTGTTTATGAACAGTTGGAAATTTGGATACTGAGTAGATATTTGATATTTAGTAATGTTTTTAAAACATGAAATTATGATGGTGAGATTATATTTAAGTAAAATATCCTTAACTATAGTTAAAATGCATTTGTGGGGCTGCACAGATGACTCAGCAGTTAAGAACACTGGATGCTCTTGCGGAAGACCCAAGTTCAGTTCCTAACACCCACATGGCAGCTAACAACCATCTGTAACTCCAGTTCCAACACACCCTTCTGTCCTCAGGCACTGCACAACATGGGTGCACTTGCATGCATGCAGGCATAACACTCATACACATTAAATAATAAATAAATTAAATAAATAATACATTTGTGGGTGAAGTGAGCCACAATTTTGGGTCACTTCAAAATAGCATGAAGGATGATGGGCTGTCTGTGAAATGGGATTGTTCCCGCTGCTTCCAGAACAGTGCTAAGCACATGCTGGCTGCAGAGACAGGGTTGTGATACCAACGTCTCCTTCTGATGTTGGAGGTTTTCCATGATGCATGTATAATATTTTCAGTCTCTGCTTTTTTTTTTTTTTTTTTGGTCTTTTTGAGACAGGGTCTCCCTGCAGCCCCAGCTGTCCTAGAACTCACTATGTAGATCAGGCTGGCCTTGAACTCACAGAGATCTGCCTGTCTCTGCCTCCTGAGTGCTGGGATTAAAGGCGTGCCTACCACACCCGGCAGTCTGCTTTTTTAAAACCAATTTTTTCCAACACTGTCTGCCTTCCTGTTTCTTTCTTTTGAGATTGTGGTATGCTGTCCAGGCAGGCTTCCAGCCAGGTCCTGTGACAGCCTCCTGAGCAGGTAGAACTATTCAGGAGTGTGGCACCTAGCCAGGCTAATCTTTACCCCTGGTGCTAGTGATTGAACTGGTGCCTCAGGCATACTGGGCAAGTTTCATACTACTGGACTTCCTGCCCAGCCTGGTTGTTTTCTTAACAAAAAAGAACACACAATTTATTACGTGCTCAAGATACGAGAGTATTGTACTCGTCTACTTTTGTACTTCATGTGATTTTATTTTAAACAGTGGTAACTTTAGTTAGTATTGTATACAGTTAATGTCATTTCACTGTCCGTTCTTAGCTTTGGGAGTAGTGGACACGTAGCTGAGGCATTCATTTGTAGAGGATTTTCTACAATGAGAAATACAGTCTTTGGCACTGACATATTCAAGTTGGCCAGTGTGGATTAAAGCTCAACATGAGCTTTTCTTTAATCCCATACTCTAGCCAGTTAAACGCTAATAGTAAACTGCTAATTGCTCTTTTTCTCTGACTCAACAGAGAACCTCTGTGCCGTCCTCAAAGAGCTGGCTGCTGAACTGACTGCCCCCGATTCCCAGGCAGCAGCGTCCACGTGTTTACTTCCACCCCTCTGTCACCCTGATGATCTCTTCATATTAAGTCCTTTGCTGCAAGAGACCGACCATAGGTTTATTGAAGAACAGGTGTGGTGGTACAGTCACTGTGAAGCAAATCTCGGGTAGATTCAATCTTGAGTGACTTTTAAAACCTCATGTACATTTGTTTTCTATTTAGCTCTTGCTTGGTAATGGCATTGCCTGTGGAAGTCTGGAATATGACCCTTACTCTATTTATGAGACGGACGTAGAGGGAGATTCTGTGCCAAAGCCCCTGCCTCCAGCACTGTCTGTTGGCAGCTCCGCAGCCAAGCTCTTTGGGGTTGTCTGTGCCCATGTGGAGGAAGCTCAGAGGTAAATCTCTTCCATGGTTGCTTATCCTGACGTATTTAACTGCTTTGGTGAATGCACACTTAGAGAACTGGCAGGTGAGAGGGATGCCAGGAAATTACTTCAAACAGTTAAGGGTAAGTGTGTTTTCACACAGCTAATATTGACAAGAAATTAGTAATGCAAGCCAGGCCTGATGGCACCTGCCATAATCCCAGCACACAGGGGGCTGAGGCAGAAAACTGAGTCCAAGGCTAGCCTGATCTACATAGTGAAACTGTCTTAAGTAAATTGAAAGAAAGAAAGACATTATTAAATGCTCTAAAGTAGGTATTGTTGTGGATACGGTACTTTGCCCACAGTAAGCCTATCATCTAGCTCTAATGCAAACGAAGTAAATTTTGACAAAAAAATAATTTATGAACCTACATGTAAGTGCCCCTGTGTCGTGCAAAGTCCAGATGGTTGTTAGCTGCCATACAGGTGCTGGGAATCTAACCCGGGTCCTCTGGAAGAGCAGCCAGTACTTTTAACCATGGAGACATGTCTCCAGTCCCTTATTTATTTTTTCACTTAAACTAGGTCTCATAGGCCTTCTTTGGAAATGTTACAGAACTATTACAAGTTTGGGTTTTAGTCTTACATTTGTACGGATTTCAAATGTTGATTTTGGTGGTTTACCTAAAATGAATTTTGGACCAGAACCAAAAAAGTAATTGGATGAAAATGGGTATGTTTAGCTTGATTGTGAAAATGAGTAAATATAAGATTCCTCCCCCTGGGCTGGAGAGATGGCTCCAGCAGTTGAGAGCACTGATTGCTCTTGCGGAGGACCCGAATTTGATTCCCAACACCCACATGATGGCTGATGACCGTTCATAGCTCCAGTTCCAGGGGACTCCAACGTCCTCTTCTGGCCTTCCTGGCACTGCACAACATGGGTGCACTCACATACATGCAGGCAACACACTTGTACACATAAAACAGTAAATGAATTTTTTTTTAATGTGTATGAGTGTATTGCCTGCATGTATGTGAGTGCACCAGAGTCGTGCCGTGCCGCGAAGGTCAGGAGAGGGCTTCGGAACTGGAGTTAAGGACGGTTCATAGCTGCCATGTGGGTGCTGGGAATCGAACCCATGTCCTCTGTAAGAGTAGTCAGTGCTCTTAACCGCTGAGCCATCTCTCCAACCTGTAAATGAAATATTTTTTAAAAAGATTCCTCCCCCATTGAAAGAACCTAAGACTCATTAATGACTTCTCAGTTAGGATGATAGTTTCTTCATTGATGACTGAGCATAAATCTGTCATGGGATCGAAGTCTGCCATCCCAGAAGGTCCGGTGTCTGAGAAATGAAATGGCTGTACTGGTCAGGAGTTTCCAGACCGCTGCTCTCCTCACTTACTCATCCTTACACCCGTGTCCCCCTTCCCTCCTTCCCTTTTATGCTAGACCACAATGCATTTGAGTTAGGTCACAGCATTTAACCCATCATTTTACCTAGTTATATCTCCTAGTGGGTAGCAGTTAGGTAGAAAATTTACCTTAGTCTTGTCATGAAGATAATTCTTTTTTTATTATTTATATTTTATGTGTATTTTGTGTGTATGTATATTTTGAGTGTATTGCTTGCATGTATGTAAGTGCATCTGTGTCGTGCAAAGCCTGCAGAGCTGAGAAGGTGTCAGGTCCCCTGGACCTGGAGTTATGGATGGTTCTTACCTGCCATTTCGGTGCTGGGATTCAAACTTGGATCCTCTGGAAGAACAACAAATGGTGTTCTTTTTTTTTGGTCTTTTTTTGAGACAGGGTCTCCCTGTAGCCCCAGCTGGCCTGGAACTCACTATGTAGACCAGGCCAGCCTGGAACTCACAGAGATCGTTCTGCCTCTGTCTCTGGAGTGGCAGGATTAAAGGTATGTGCCACTACACCTGGCCAACAAGTGTTCTTAACCCCTGAGCCATCTCTCCAGCCCCATGAATATATTTCTAAAGTAGCTGTGCTGGATGCTTTAGGTGTCAACCTGACACACCTGGGTTGAGGGAGCCTCAGTTTAGGAACTGCCTCTGTTGGACTGGCCTTGTGGCCATGTCTGTGGGGCATCTTCTGGATTGTTGAGTGATGTGGGAGGGCACAACCCACTGTGGGTGGTGCTACCCCTGGGCAGGTGGGCCTGTGTTATATAAGAAAGCAGGCTGAGCAGGGGCTAGGGGAGCAAGCCAGTAAGCAGCGTTCCTCCATGGCCTGTGCTCCAGCTCCTGCCTCCAGGTTCCTGTCCTGAGTTCCTACCTTGACTCCCTCATGAACTGTGACCCCAAATTCGTATTGGTCAGATTATTTTGTCACAGCAAATAAAGGCAAACTAGAACAGTGGTTATTACCATCTTAATTTGAGTTGATTGTATAAAATTGCAGACTGATTTAAACCTCATTCTTTCTGGAAAAATTAGTACATACTAGAAAATTGTTTTTTTGAATATTAAGACAACTATGATTTTCCTATATCTTAGGGCCATAACTTTACAGTTATAGTATATATAGGACATAGAGGCTACAAATAAAATTTGGGAAAATATCTATTGAAATTGAAGCTAATTGAAAAACAATACAAACTTCACTCATTTTTCTTTTTTATTTTATTTATTATTATTATTATTATTATTATTATTATTATTTTGGTCTTTTTGAGACAGTATCTCCCTGTAGCCCCAGCTGTCATGGAACTCACTATGTAGACCAGGCTGGCCTGGAACTCACAGAGATCCGCCTGCCTCTGCCTCCCACCCACCACACCCAGCATGAAATTTTTTTTTAAGTAAAAGCTATTTTTCAGCCGGGCAGGGTGGTGTGGGCCTTCAAACCCAGCACTCCAGAGGCAGAGGAAGGCAGATCTTTGGGCGATACAGGCCAGCCTAGTCTACATAGTGAGTTCCAGGTCCAGACTAGCTTGGGCTACAGGGAGATTCTGTCTCAAGAAAAACAAAAAAAACCTATCAACATAAAGCCCTGACCAGATGGCTCTCTGGGGAACACTTCCCAGCCATAGCACCAGTTATTAGATTGTGTATTCCCGCAGTTACAACTACTGTAGATAATTTTAGAAATATATAAATTATGAGTTTTAAAGCATTAGAGACTATCTTTTTGTTTTTTGAGACAGGGTCTCCCTGTAGTCCCAGCTGACCTGAACTCACTATGTAGATCAGGCTGACCTTGAGAGACTATCTTTTTTAAGAGTTCATTTCAGAGCAGGAGAGATTGTTCAGCAGTTACGAGCAACGGCTACTCTTACAAAGGTTCGGTTCCCAGCACCCACATGGCAGCTAACAACCATCTTAACTCCAGTTCCAGGGGTGCTGATGCCCTCTCCTGGCACTAGGCAGTCATAGTACACTATGACTGATGCTCACAAAACACTCAAACACATAAAGTTAAAAGGAATTAAAGAAAAAAGCATTTATTTTCCCCAGGTTTCAGGGTAAAAACTTTGATACAAGTTATAGGTATCGGAGTATCTGAATTTGCTCAAGGAAACTCTTTAAAAAGTCTTTTTTTTTTTTTTTTTTTGAGGCAGGGTCTGGTGATGCAGCACTGGCTGGCCTGGAGCTCACCCTGTAGACCAGAGATAAGCCTGCCTCTCCTGCCCCAAGAGAGCATTTGTAATTCTTCTCACAAAGTAATGATCCCCCTCTGCTGCTTGAATGACCCATAGTAAGGGTAGTTTCCTGTTGTGTCGTCTTTCCTGACATATTTCAAAGTGTTGAATAACCTGTTTTTCATGTTAGTACTTCTCACAAAATAATGTAACAAAATAAATAGCAGTAGGTGCTCAGCTAACCTTTAGCTTCTCTTACAAATCTTAACTACATTTAAATTTGTTTCTTCTGATTTTAGGGTTCTGACCCTGGAACAGCTTCTGAGCAGCATAAAGCTCACGAAAGGAGCCCGTCAGCACACAGTGCAGGTGCACGTTGTCGCTGCCATTTCTAATTTACTGAAGGTAATTCTATTCTCTCTCTCTCTCTCTCTCTCTCTCTCTCTCTCTCTCTCTCTCTCGTCTGTCTCCCCCCCCTTACTCAGTCTTGGCTGCCACAATCAGACAGAAAGTACAAGGAAACTTTCTACTTGCATCTGTAATGGAAACCGTAGACGCAGACAGTAACTACTTCGGGTCTGTCAAATAGATGCACAATAATTCTATTTTTTTTAATTCAAGTATTTGCTTAATTTTTAAATGTTTTTTTTTTTTTTTTTTTTTTTTTTTTTTTTTTTTTTGAAAAAAGGGCCCTTTTTTTTTTTTTCTTTTTTTTTTTTTTTTTTTTGTGTGGGTTGTTGGGTGGTGT